TTTTTGGCAGCTTTGGCATCATCATATTCGACGAGCTTGCTCTTGTAAGCTTCCATAAGAAGTCTGAAATGTTCGGCTCATTGGGTGTCTTGCGTAACAGCACGCTCCCAAGTAGCGAAAGCATCTGCAACAGCCGCAACGATAGCTTGAGTTTGTTGGTCCATTCTTGCTTGTGAACGAGTGTAAGGGCGACGCCCAGTAGAGGGGCCACGTTGACAAGGAATGTCTTGGTGATGTTAGCGGTAGGTGGTGCTACCATGTAACGTCAGAGGAAATGTAGACGATATTGGGCCCTTCTGAGAGGGCTGAGAGCAGTGTATTGTAGTGAAGAAAAAAGTAAGAAGCTCTTTGCAGCGGCCGCTCGACTGACAGCCTTATATATGGGCTGCCAGTGGGGCTTGCGTGGCTTCAGTGAGGCTTGGCGCCTTATGTAATGTATCACCGAGAGCTCTGGTGGCCAGCCCGGGTCTCGGATCAAGTAGAAGTAGATGAGATATCCCCAACAGAAGCCCTCTAGAACGCCTTCAACGCGCGTACCGAAGACACGCCTCAATCCGTCACTATGACCTGGCGACAAGCGATGGCCTCCCCTCAATCAGCTGACTTCAAGCTCGCAGCTGATAAAGAGTTCCAAGCCCTAGTTGATAACGGGACTTGGGAGCTCGTACCCCATCCGCGAAATCAGCGCGTACTTGGTAGTACTTGGGTACTTTGTCAAATCTTCAATCCGGACGGTACTTTCAAGAAATTCAAGGGCCGCGGTGTAGTTCAAGGTTTTCGTCAATCCAAGGGTATTGATTATAACGACACCTACGCTCCAACCCTACCCATGTCAGTTCTTCGCCTTTTCCTCACCATTGCCGTCTCTCTTGGTATGGAAATCCATCAACTCGACGTCCCCACCGCGTTCTTACGCAGCAATATCAACGGACACGTCTATGTTGAACAATTTCAAGGCTACAATGATCCGCAGAAACCACGCGCAGACTGGGTATACCTCCTACGCAAGGCTCTATACGGTCTCAAGCAATCTCCGCTTCTCCGGTACCGTACCCTTCGCGAAACCCTCAGTTCTCTCGGCTTTACCCCGTTCAAGAACTGCCCTTGCGTCTTCTATCGCTACGCAACAACGACGCGCACTCTGGAGGCTCTCCAGATGCCCCTTATCTATGTGGACGATTTCATCGCCTGCTGCTTTCCCGTACACGTCAAGCAAGTGAAAGGTGAACTATGTTCTCATTTCAACTGTACGGATCTTCGGTCCCATCAAGAACTGCCTAGGTCTAGGTCTTCGATTACCAGCTCTCGCCGTCAGGGAACCAACTCAAAATCAGCAATGTTACCTATATCGACGGTTTACTTGAACGATTTGGACAACAAAACGCTACCCCGGTCTTTACGCCATGCGCCGGCTCTGCGCGTACCCGACCAGCTTCCGCAAGCCCCCCTTTTCATAGCAAGCTTCTCCACCAGGAAGCAGTGGGGGCCCTCACGTGGGCATCCATTACCTGGCGCTGGGATATTTCAACTGCTGTCGGCTTCGTCGCACGTCAAGTCTCAGCTCCTACCCAGGCCGACTGGAATGATGTACTTCGCATCATGCGCTACCTGAAAGGTACCCGCACCTTTGAGCTTACCTACAAGTCCAGTCATTCCGATCAAGCTGGACTCCGCGTCTATACAGACGCATCCTACGCAGACGATGTCAACGACCGCAAATCTACCGCGGGCATTGCCAGCTTCTTCAACAGCCAGCTTATCTACTGGAAAAGCACCAAGCAGGAAGTGCGTAGCTCTCAGCTCCACGGAAGCTGAGTATATCGCCGCATCCCTCGGTTACAAAGAGGTCTTCTGGCTCCGCTCGATCATCGCGGAGGTCTTCGGCGACGAATACGGCAACATCAAGGACCCCACGCCACTCCACATCGACAATCAGAGCGCCCGCGAGATTGCCAACTCCACGGCTATTACTCAACGCTCCAAACACATCGACGTACGCTACCACAAGCTACGCGACGGCGTGGCAAAGAAAGACGTTGTACTCCTCAACACCGCGACGCAGGAACAACTGGCTGATTACTTCACAAAGTCTTTTCCTCCCAAGACACATACGAAATTTATTCAAGCAATTCAAGAAGGACGCGCTGACAGCAATAGACAGCCGGCGACGACTACGTCCGAATGAGACATACAGAACACCCATACCGGGACGGCTTCTGGGCACTACATACAAATCCGGCACCTTAACCCGCCACCGTGATAGCCGCCGCTGCCCCGGCACCGGGGGCTCGACCGGCTCCGGCTCCGCCTCCACCAGGCGGAACCCCTGGACCACCTCCCCCGCCGTTTCCGTCACCGTCTCCATCCTCACTCAAAGACGAATCATCCATGTGCTTTTGCAAGTACTGGAGTCGCTTCATCATCTTGTCTCGCTCCCGTCTCTCGACTGCATCACTGTGGCGCTTCGCGTCTATCATCTTTTCTTTTGATATGCCGCCTTTTGCCTTATATCGCGACTCCGAGACTGCCTTACATCCAAGGTAGTCTGCCTCCTCCATCAATGCCTTGAACAACCCCTTCTTTCGCTTCGATCGATCCAGTTCCGCCCTTGTAAACGCCAGGTGCTTCGCGAGGTTCTCATGGTTATCCTTGCGGTACCTCAACGTCGATACCTTCGTCGCCAATCGAAGAGCTCCTCTAACTCGGGCTTTCGACATCGAAGAGTTGCTTGCGGACGCTGCGGACGATGCGCGCGTAGAGCGCGTAGTCGGACATGAGGGTCCCGGAGGAGGTGCAGCTGGAGGGGCTGCGGGCGCTCCCGTCTTACGGGCCGTTTGCTTCTTCTTGCCGTCGCCGCTCTTCTTGCCACTCCCGCCATTCTTGCCTCCGTTCGCCATTGTTTCGCGTATCGTGTGGTAGTCTGGGATACGGTAGTTGAGTATGGGGAACGTTGGTCTTACCTCTCTGGGGCGACTGACATCTGTCTCTTGTTTTATACCCGCGGCGTTTCCCCCCTTCTTTCATTTTACTCTTTCATTTCTTTCATTTTTAGTCATAGCTATTCATCCCCCCGACCGCCCGCTTTTCGCGTACGGCTGCACCATTGTACTCATTGTTTGTTTTATCTTTCACTTAGATAGACTTGTGAGTTTGAGTGGGGATGTTGGAGGTATCATCCTCCCAAGTCCCCGGTTAGGGTTCCCATAGTTTATTTCCTCACGTGACTTCCCTCCCGCTTGAGCCACGCTTCCGCGTATGGGACTTCACTCTTTTCTTCCCTTTCGGACCTCGCGTCCTCTTTCTACTTCAGACAACACTGTATAACTTCTTATACAATATAGGGCTTCGTCTCCCCATTACGTGGAGTTCGCTCATTATCTGTTTCCTCTGCCGACTACTGCTAAGTAACCCATACCCGGAGATCGATTGAAGATATTTCGAACTCGAACCCAGACACAATCGATAGTCGACGACCATATCGAAGATGATGGAGACAGAGAGGAAGAAGACAATGTTACAGACGATGATTGATGAGGACATCAATGTTTGACAAAAGGCAAGACGTAGTAGTGCGCTTTGAACTGCGCATGAAATCTATAATATCCCAACGCCAATTATACGCCCAGAATCCTTGATGAACAAATAAAATCACCTTTATACGACAACGTCAAATACAGTCAAAACTTTCGACAATAAATTGACAAACTCGCGTTTAAGACACTCCGACGATAACCAAATACACCTGCCTTTACCAAAACCTTGCTTCACAACGACCTTTTGTCCTTGGATACGACTGACATGCGAAAAATGTAGGCGTAGGAGAGGATTTCACACATGAAAGCGCCCCCGACCCGACTCTCAACCAACCAGAAGCTCCCACAACGCCCGAAACGCTGAAGAAATCAACTGCGAAACGAGAAAACCAATTTCCGGTGGCCGTGTACGCCAAACGTTGAAGAAAACCCCGAGAAAAGATTAGCGACAAGACTGTATCTGTGCCAAAATTGCGAATGGAAAAAAGGAAAAACGACGTAGACCCCCGCAGGAAAAGAGAAAAAGACCTCGACGTAGCTAAATCCTCTCAAGACAGTTAGTAGAGAGTTTGGACTTCGAAAAAATCCCGTAGCCTAGAAAAATATGTATAAAAACCCGACTGTTTTTGTAACGTCAGAGGAAACGTAGACGATATTGCGCCCTTCCGAGAGGGCTGAGAGGAGTGTATTGTAGTGAAGAAGAAAGTAAGAAGCTTGTCGCAGCGGCCACTCGACTGACAGCTTTATATATGGGCTGCCAGCGGGGCTTGCGTCGCTTCAATGAGGCTTGGCGCCTTATGTAATGTATCACCGAGAGCTCGGGTGGCCAGCCCGGGTCTCGGATCAAGTAGAAGTAAAGAGATATAATATGAAATACAAATGAATATGAGATATCCCCGACAGTTTTTCCCAGACCTTTGTACGATATGCAGAACACACCGACCTACAACAGAGCCAGTTCTATTTTCTCTACTCCCGACAACTTCTTCTAGTTCCTTTCAGACTTTCAAGGCGCGCTCACAGACACCGAGAGCTTAGACAAGACGACCCCGAGTGTCGCGACTTGTACTTTGCTGACGTCGCAGAGGACTTGATAGATCAGGAATCTCGTAAGAATAGCTGAGAGTGTGATTGGATAACTCCGTTGTCTTGTTTTGTAGTCAACCCGCAGATATTTCCGATTTCGTATTTCGTACCTGTACCCATATTTCCCGACCCAGTATAAGAAGAAGGACTCTATTCAAAGCACCTGGATATTAAGGTGGCAAGACGACGCTCTCGCGTGAGCTCTCCTCTTGTGCTATTGAGACCGGCAGCTTATTTTTCTGACACCCGACCGTACCCCCTCGATTCGACAGACCCTCGCTTCTGCAGGCCACCACCACAGCGCCGTCACGAAAGTGTAGTCCCGGGGGACACTGTCAGCCGGGACACTGGTAGTAAACTGCGTGGTTAGGCTAGCAAACAAATGCAATGCGTCGCCGTACACTTGAGTGTAATTCCGGAGCAGCCCGTGTATCGCGCGGCATGTCATTGATAAGCGTCGAAAACTGTTCAGATCAGTAAGATGCTTCAGCACCTCGTGCAGGATCTCCTCAGGCAAGTGAGCAAGGCTTGCTTGTGGCTGGCGTGCCGCAGCATAACCAGGGCATTCAAAATTCTCAGTAAAACGCGTTACGATCGTCCCGTCCCTCCAGGTGCAGCGGTCAATGTGAGCTTTTTTGCCCTCCTCACTGGCGACGTAGCAATCAGTGTGGACCACATACTTCCAGCAGTGCTTGCACCTGGATGGGCGTAAGTGACAGGTATACATCCAGGGGCAGTGTGATTGAGGAGGGGCTTCACCTGATAAACGGGCAATTCCAAGGGAAACCGACTTCTATCGCGCTCCGGTGATTCCGGAGCTTTCTGCGCTGGTGGCTATCAGGGGGCCGATCATCGGTGAGACACATCGCGCAGTGAAATGGATGAGACATCTCCAGCTGGACGCAAGCCAGTGTCTTGCCCTCGCTGCATTCACCGTCGAACCACACGGACGAAAGCAGTCCTTTGGGAAGACTTGTATGTGAATCATCTACGTCCTGAATCCGTTGAGCGCGCTCCACGGCCCAAAGAATGCCAACAGCAAAGACAAAAAACTGGTTGTCCAAAAGTGTGCTTCCCCATGTGTGTCGCCTCCCGATGTTGTCGACAAATATGAGCTGTTTGTTATTGTTGAATATGAGCTTTTCGTTTGCAATCCAGCGGCAATCGCTCATGCAAGGCTGAAAGTAGGTGACCTTTCGCCTAAAAACTACTGAGGTATTTTCCGCTTGGATAGAACCGGGAGGGTCTAAAGGGCGACAGAGGGATCGCCGAGACGTGGAACGACCGGAACGACCCGAAGTTGGCGTCGGATCTGACGAAGGCACCGGTATCAATTCTGGATCCAGTTCCAAGCGAACCTCATCCTTGTACCGAAAATCCCCAAGCGCAGGGCCTCGAATGGTGAACCAGGCGGTCCGGAGCAGTTCGTCTGACATTCTGAACTTTTCATCTCCAAGCGTAAATGCTGCGTTCCAGATGGACGCGGCCCTACGCAGGCCGACGGGTGCGATCCAAGAAAGGCAGACGTTACGCAGCTCGGCAAAAACGCTGAGCGCAACGTCCGCGATGTCTTTAGTCTGTGGTGCATCCAGAAAGGCGAGCTCTTCAACCCACTGCCACACAGGCGGCGGGAGCTTGTGACGTTCTTCATGCGCAGGCTGCCAGCTCCGCTGCTTGGAACACAGGTAGATTATGGACAGCCAGGTGAATGCGGGCAGTTCAGTGGGCGTGAGTGGCTGACGAAAGTCGAGATGCAATTCGCTGTCGCTGACGTTGGCCAGCGCCAAAACGGAAGCGTGTGTCTCGAGTAGGAGGCGAAGCTGAGCTGGGGAGCTGACAACGACGCCGGCGGTGACCGAAGAGCCGCCGTCGTTAGACATTTGTTTGCGTTCGTTCAAGCTAATAAATGGCAGATGTGCGCTACTGGCTTCGAGTTCGGACGACGCCTCGGCCTGAGTACGTACTGGATGTACGCGTCCGTCACAGTGCCAGCTCGGGCGTTGATTTGGGACACGCTGAAGAGTACTGAGAGGGACCGTTGTAGACAGCATCCCGCCGCAGCAACTGCCTGCCGAAGCCTCCGTTGACTGGATGCCAGGGATGGAACTGTTTATCGCACCCCCGCCTGAAGTGGGAGCTCCTAGACCCGGAGGCTGCGGCGATCGCGAACGCGCTGCAATTCGACCAAATGACTGTCGTCGACGGTCTGGTTTTGGCGAACGCCGCGAGATACATTGGCATTGGTCAGTCGTCGTTTTCCAAGAAGGTTTGATTGCACGCGAGAGGGAATTGTCAGGTGGAAACGGTGTGGACACTTGTGGATGAAAAGACGTGGAACAATCCATCCAAGCCTGGGGGAACTGATTCTCTTCCGTTTATGCATTTCGTGACCTCGTTACGATCCATTCCCCTCCAGCTGATGGCCTTCCCGAAATCAATCCTCAAGATGTCCGACCGCTAGCCGTTTCCGGATTGGTAAATCAAGTACGAAGAATGCGGACCCAGAGGCGACGCTTATATATTTTTGACCTTTTCGAAGTACCTTTTTGGTTTCTCACAACCTGCTCAGCGAGTCGCGATGGGTGGAAGTGCTTCAACCGAATGTTCTCCCTCGCCGGAAGGCTCCATTCAAAGGAGGAAGCGCAGTCCTACAAGATACGGAAGCGAGTTCACACCGTGTATGTGCACTGGCAGCTCCAAAGGTTCTTATCCAGTCTTCATCACAACCGAAGTGCGCACAGGGGTTAACCATCACACCTCAAGTACTCAGTCATGGTCATAGCGTCCAGCAAACATTACTGATGCATCAGGAGGATTTGTCGAACCCGTGCGGCGGAGTCGCTCACCGCTGCCATTTTCTCCACAAAAGTCCCGTCTGCCATGGAGAGCCTCTCCATTGCGGTGTCCGCGTCTAACCCTGGATGAACATTGCTCAAGTTCAAGAAGCGAAGATTGCCATCCCGTATCACCGAGAAACGATGAATTGACGAGCCCAAATCGATCCCGTTAGTCTTGAAATTGACGGGAATATGTCGCAAAGTGCCGTCATCGAAGACTCCATTCTCCGGATCATGCTCTGTGTCCGGGGTAGCGTGACCAGACAGGAAGTCGAACCCTATCAAATCCACCTTGTTCCTCATAAGAGGAATGACTAGTTTTCCGAGGCGAGACGAGTAGAGGTTGTCGCCGTTGGTAAAGAGAATGTACTCGCAGGCCGGCAGGGTGGATGATTTGGGATGGGCTTCAGCGTGCACAAGTCTGTCAATAACGGCATCTGTGTACGCTGGCAAATGGAAGAACATTTCACAATGAGCAATAAGCTAGACGGGTGGAGGCGCATCCGGAGCGGCGAGGGTTCACTAACCGTAACCATAGTCCGTCACATTGTCTTTGAGATGCGGATAACGTTGCTCGGCTTCCTGGCGCGGGATATTGACAGATATGATGGAAGTTTTGCCTTTCCCCGACAACTTTGCTAGGCGCTCCGTGTCTGTAATAACATCATCTAATTTCCGCTGCTCTTTTGAGGAAATTGGCTGCGTAACTACCAGGAGTACTGTTGCTGTGAGCGGAGGATTGTCAGGAAGGGCCAGGCTGAGCAAAAAAGCCGGCAGATATGCGAACTGCTTCGAATATGTTCTCGCAACGATACAAAGATGTGGTGAGGGGATATCAGAACGATCCCAATCGCCGAAGGGTGGCGGGGGATTGTGCCGTCTCCAGCGTAATCTTCCAAAGATGACAGACTTGACAGTGAGCAGCGTGATGGAGAGAAGCATGAAGCCGGCGACAAAAGTCTGAAAGTATCGTTTCACTGCGCGACTTCGTGATTGGCCCCATGCCGGCTTACAGCCCCTCCTGTAGTGGATACGTCTTGATAAGAAGAAGCGGGAGTACGGGGCTATATTATCGGGACTAGGAGCCTGCTCTAGGTTGATGTAAACCATGTCGTTGCGATGGCAGCGTTAGAGCGTGTTCTTTCCGGTGGCGGGTAAGGTGGGTTGCTTTACGACTCTATCTATCAACCGGACTCGGACCACTACTAGCAGGACTTGCAGCTGGCGACGCGTCCCGTGATTACGTGATTATGAACACACACGAGAGCGGACGCAACAAGTCTTTCGAGCGAAGGAGTCCGCACCGCACCGGCGCTCACGCACGCCTCCTGAATCCACACAAAAAGCTCTTCGCTAGAATAGTTGCGGGTATTTTCTCTTCGGATTCCTTGCGTTTTCACCTCGTATCCTCATCGAAAATAAATTGACCTCAAAGGGAAGGTCTCCCAATCTGTTCACGTGCTTTAGTATGATTTACCTGCACCGAGCTTTCAAGTAGCACTCCGCTCATGCTCGCATTCGCCTAGCTTTGCCCTTCTTCGGGTTTTTCATGGCATGCCCAATCCTTTGGGATCACCCATGTTTTGCCAGTACCTGGTGTCATTCCCAGACGTGGAATATGATCATATAGTCAATTGACTTCCACACATCGCCAACCCCGAAGGATGTGAAGAATGGAATGGTGCGAGAGAAGCTTCGCCAGCTTGACGGAAGCGCGAGTTATCATGCTGATGTAAGCTCGTCGCGTACCCGCATACCCGGTTCCCAACAGGCAAGGCCAAGATGCGCTGTAAATGTCCATCAACCATCAGGGATCCGACTGACATCCAGATTCCTCCTCGAAAACGGCTGAATACCACATACATTTCACTCAAAGGTGGGAGGCAGCTTTCTCAGAAAAAAAAAAAAGACCTTTGCCCGCATGGGTCTACCACCGGCGCACAGTCAGCCGGCTTCCGCAGGATTCTTCTCGTGAGTCTTGTTTTTGAACACGATGATGTTCCAAATGTCGTCCTGACCCTCGTCCCCTCTGTGTGTTCCCACAGACGATGCACGTGGTGCACCTCGCCTACTCTAGCAAGGCGACTAGCGGTCGTGACGTTCGTCGCGGTGGCCACAACATTCATATCGCTCCTCGCCTTCCTGACCCTGCGTGAATTCCAGTCGCTCTTGCACGCGCCTCCAGGCCGGCTGCTTATGCCTACCAAAAGCGAATAGGGGAGAGAGAGAGCTCCCATTTGAATCGGGGAAAGCAGCCGTAGTTGGATACTCCCCATGCATATAGTCGTCGGGGATTTGAGTGAGTGTGAACAACACACGCTGTTCACACATCCCACGGAGCGGAGTCTGTAACAGCTGTTGGGGTCGCCAGCCTGTACGAGGAGAGCCGAAGTGAGAGAGGAGTGGTTTACGACTTGTATATTCCCAGGAAACCCGTGTACAAAAAAGCCGCATCTATAAGGAAAATGGGCACCTCTCCTATCCGTGAGCGATTCCCGATTGTAGCCCCCTGCTCGTGCTCTCTGTGTTGATTGCCCGCGACACTCGGTGGGTCTTGTATGCATATGCAAGGCGCATACCGGGGCTTGATTTCGCGATTCCTGACAATTGGCTGGCCCCGACCTCCAATCTGTCCTGTCTACTATAGAGATATGGTATATATCGTAACAATATTGAAGTTAAATGAAGCGGCGCAAGAGGGCTGTCCCTGAATAAGACGCCGGAAAGATTGACGTCGTTGATCATGCTTTTCGAAGCTGGCGCCTGGCATAGATGAGTGCCGTTCACCTATTCCTGGTGCGTCTATTCTATATGTTCCTACTCCTAGATACGTCCGCATGTCACCTCCTCCTCCCTGTTCATCTCCGACGTGAGCAGCCCCGCCACCCCATTGTTGCCGTGGATGACGTTGGAGGTATACATTCCCTCATTTTTACGCCGCGGGTTTCTGACACAGAACAAACATGTGCAGATGGATTCGGTCGACGACAACGAGGTTCAAGCCGGCCCATTTGCAGACTTGCTCGAGGAGTTCGTAGCTGAAGACGTGCTGATGTATGCCGCGAACATCCTGGATAGGAACGGTAATGAGTGGGTGCGTCAGTGTCTCGCGGCACAACCTCGAGTACCCTCGCGGAAGTATCCTTACCTCATTCCTCAAACTCCTAGACCTAAAATGCGCCAACGTGCCTGCAGGCGCATCCATTGAGAGATCATGCAGCATCATGATTTCATCAAAGTGCTCGCTTGGCTCGTGCTCCTGTGTTCCGCGCTCGTAGTGGGAGAGCAGGTCCGACATGGGCGTGTAGTCTCGGTATTGATCGAAGCAGAGTTTCTTGTACGGGAGCACTAAGAAGAGATGGCTGTAGGAGTGGGAGGGACAAATGTCGTGTTAGGAGGCGGAAGTCTGGTGAGGAGGGCGGGAATGACAACGTACCCGCCCGGTTTCAAGACGGAAACCATTTGAGTGACAGCGCGAAGCGGGTTGGCGATATGTTCCAGCATGTGGCAAGCGGCTACAAAGTCATAAGGTTTTCCAATCGCACGGAGCTTCGACATATCGGTGACATCGACGACATGCTGGACGCCCATCTCCTTATTGGGATGCCACTGGAAGGTCTTCTGGCCGTCCTTCAGCTCATTCTCCCACAGCGTTGTTGCAGCAAAGTTGGAATTGTCAAGCGACGAAATGACGCTATAGATAGGAAGTACGTTGCGGAACGGGTCTGATGATCCACCGATCTCTAATCCGTTTTTGCCGCGGAGGGTGTTGAGGACGGTATGGAGCCCGACATTTTTCTCCGGCATGTCATCGTCGACTAGGTTGGGCGGGATGATCAGGTCGGTTTTGAGGAAGACGAGACCTTCCGCTTTTGTGACGACGTCAACGGACTGGGTCGTGTCGATCCCGCGGTAACTGTAAGTAACGTCGAGGGCCAACGCTTTTGCGTCCCCGAAATGTTCATAAAGATTAACTTGTGTTGAAATTCGCAGTCGACGACCTAAGGGAGGGATGCGAATGAGGAGGGGAAAGTATGATTGGTCAGTCGACCGCCCAGTATGATCACGGATGGTGCATGGAGCGACGTCCTGGTTTCTTTGCCCGCAAAGAACAAAACTCCCACTTCCCTTCCTCCCGCTTACTCACCGATATGCAACTTTTTCACTGCTCTCGTCACATCTAGTTTCGCTTCCCCATCCCTGTACCAAGCCTTGAGAATCACGGGCCTATCATTTGTCAATTTCGAAGGAAACGGGTCCGCACTCCCAGCGCCAGCACTTGAAGGAGGAACTACCAACGTCCCATGGGAAACAGTCTTCTCGGACACGACACCGGGACCATGGTGTGATGGTGGAATAGCGGCAGCGGCGGCAGCGTTGTTATTACTGTTTGAGAGACGAATAGAATTCGGGGCGGTTGTTGTTGTTGTTGTAGCGAGAAAGAGGGAGCGCAGAAGGACGCCGATGACGAACAGCAAGAGGATTGCCCTAGCGGGACGGGTAGCGAGGAAAGAGCCGCAGCGGGTGGCAGGGTTCATGGTGGTCGGATATCCTTAGGAGAGGGTGGATATATCGTTATGGGAGGGGTTTAGACGATGGCAGTCCGTGAATATATACTTTTTCCCAGAGGGAAGAGAAAGGGAAAGCCGCACTCGACCGGAAGCCTCACTTCACCCCAATAACCATGTGGTGCGTGTCCTTATTCCACTACCTACATCTGTATCAATACACGCGCGACTCTAATAATAAACAACGGCAGATCATTAAAGGATCAATAAATACATCGCGTTTCAAACGTATGCGGCCACATACGGATCGCAGGACTCTTCGCAGAGAGGGGATCTGCCGCGTAAGCTGAGGGGGAAGACGCGCAAGGGGTGAACATTGAAATGGACTCGAAAACACTCGATTCGAATGGACGACCAAGCAACAGACCTGTATGGACACTCTAATTTAAAAGGCTCCGTTCATCCGTCCGTTTGGCGGTTTGCCTCTCTTGTCTTTGTCGTTTTGGGACCTGCATGCGCCTGCTCGTTACCGTCTGGTCAGCCGCTACGTTGGACTGTTGAGATCCGCAACTTCGAAAATCCTCACACCATCGTAGCCATGTACATCCGTCGCCGACTTCGTCCGGCATATTGTACCATACTTATGCTCCTCGGAGGAGCTATTGTAATTTATGAAAGCACATCGGCGGCTTTATCTTTCATATCTCGTCATCGACCCGTCCATAAGTACGAGTCCCACATCGGTGTCCCCCTACCATCTAACCACGTTTACAACCATACTGCCAAAGTCTCCGCCAATGCTGGTGCACTGGCGGCTGCCGAGTGGCAATCGGGTGCACTACGGGAATTGCAAGAAGCGACTTCAGGTATAGCCGTGTGGCTTGCAAGTTCGCTTTCCTCCCCTGCTCACCCCCAGTGCTTTCGTACAAATCCAGTGTCAGCAAGGAATATCAAAGTTCTTGGGTTTGTCTTTCCGCAGTTCCATCCAATACCAGAAAATAATGCTTTTTGGGGCCCCAACTTCACGGAATGGGTTAACGTCAGAAAAGCCAGCAAGAACAAGTTTGGCATGGAGGTCCCGCAACCGGAATGGGGCTACTACAATCTTCTGGACTTTGATGTTCGCAAGCGTATGGTAGGTATTGGCAGTTCCCTGCGCCTCCTGATGGGGTATGCTGCGCTTCGTCGCTAGGGCTCAAACGGTTGCATGCATGAGTAGGGTGACTTCTTGAGGGATAAAGGAATGTACGGCATCGTAATCCACCACTACTGGTTCGAGCAGCGGCCGATCATGGATCGATTTGGGAAGGTAGGTTGGGAACTGCACGGAAGAGTCCGTTCAAATCCGGAGCTAACCACTCTCACTTCTTAGCAAATCCTTGTGGACGGTGAGCCCAATATGCCATTCTTCTTCAACTGGGCTAACGAGCCTTGGACAAAAAGGTATACATTGTGCTCCAGAGCTCATAAACGGATGCGTGTGATTGACATCCCACTTCTCTCGCAGGTGGGACGGATTGGACAGAAGCGAAGTGCTGTTGCCGCAAAGCTACGGAGATGAGGTTACCTGGAAAGTGCACTTTGACTACCTGATGCCCTATTTTCTCCACCCGAAGTATATAAAGGTAAGGCCCCTTTGGCGCTGCTTTTTCTTCGTCCGCCGCCCCTTCATAATCTACCTCAATATCCCTTCAGGTCGGGGGCCGGCCAGTGTTTGCCATTTACAAAGCATCTCATATGCGGCATACCCTGGGCCCCATGATGGCTAAATTTAGACAGTGGGCGGTGGAGGCGGGCTTTCCTCCCGGCGGAATAGAAGTCATGCAGGCCAACTGGCAGGACGACCCTGTAGATCCGAACGTAGATGCCGTATATGATTTTCAGCCTCACGCTGGCGGTTGGGACGCTGGTAACAAGGCGCTCCCCGCAAAAAGACATCCAATCCATCACAGGTACTACTGGTTACGTATCTGTTTTCGAGGGATGAGCTCAGCAACAACTCCATTTTAGGGGCGCCATGGTATCCTGGGACAATACACCCCGACATCTCACCGACGGTGCGGCTAACATGTATCTGGGCTCACATCCATCGCGGTGGTACTACGAATTGGTGGACTTGATACAATCGATCGTTGCCGACCCTAACCCAATGGCATCCGAGAACTTTCTTTTCATCAATGCCGTGAACGAATGGGGTGAAGGCAACGTGCTCGAGCCGACCGTACAACAAGGTGACGCATACGCCCAATCCCTCAAGAGGGCGCTCCAATTTGCGCGCGAAACCGGGGGATTAGTGACAGCACGGGATTCCGAGGCATGGCTGCCCGCAGTTCCCCAGCGACCAGAGACCTGTATCCTTGTGCGAACGTACAGGGGTCACGAGGACGACCAGGTCTTTACCTTGCGCGGTCTGATAACGTCCCTTCGCCGGTTAACCAATCCTAACTGGGTGGCGGTAATCTTCCCCACCGATATGTCTGACACCTCGTACTGGGATCGCTTGAGGGAGGACTTTGATGACGAACGCCTGACGTTCTACCACCCACCAGACAAAGTGCGCCGAGTCTACTCCACGAAAGACGCAGGATACCATGCGACTGACTACGTCCTGAAGAATCTGGAGAGGGCTTGCCCGCGGTGTGCCAGCGCTAAATGGCTGCTGGTCACAAATGGAGACAATATTTATCGCCCGGACACGCTTTCGTACTTCGACCACCAACATGACTTCATCGGGCTGAACTTTTTCTCGCGCTGGGTCGTCCACAACAACGACCAGAAACATAAAGTCCTCTGGAGCGATAGGTGCGAACGATTTCAGCAGGAGGTGAGTTTCTGTACTTTCTTTGAGGTCCATTTTGCCTTGATGAAGGAACTAAAGACATAGGAACGGGCACTGCAAGGATCACTGCTTTCGCCCATCTCCGGCTGTAGGAAAGATTGACTTGGGCGCCATGATACTGAATCTCACCAAGTTTCGTAAAACTGGTTATACGTGGTCGTCGTTTACGGGAAAGCATCCGCTCGCACAGGATGGGAAGATGGCCGAAAAGCTTATTTCGAACGGTTTCCGCTTCGCAAACGTCCCCGAACATGTGAAGGGCTGCCAGCTGCTGCATAATCCCAGCTATGCCGCCTGCCGGGGAATGGGGCACGTATGGTTCGATTCCCCTAAGTTTTCTGAGGCAACCTGCTTGAAAGGCTCCGACGTTCACGCTCTGTTCGATAAGCGGGGCGAAGGAGCGCTGGACGCCGACTACCTGCTCGCGAATGGACACTGCATTCGATATAGCAAAAAGAGGTACCAAGAGCTCACATTACCGTGAGGCCAACAGCGCTCCAGCGTCTGAGCCAAGACATGTACATAGAAGACCTTTGTCGAGGTGGTTTAGATCTGTCTGTTCGATACTAATGTCGTTTGCGCCACCAACGCTTTGACTGCCGTCTTACGAACCCCATCTGGGGGATATCTCTGAAGAAATCACTGGTTCACATGGGCATTCCACAGTAGACCTCTCTGGTCTCCGGAAGAGGATCAGAATATGCCTGGCTCCTCTTGCTCGGCAGGTGGTACGTATAGTAGGAGAACGAACACCTAGCCAGTAGGCCCTGCGATGTGTGTAGTCCGTGCGCATTCCGCCCCTTGGAGTGTGTCTCCGAGATGTTCGCACTGTTTCGAAACCCCAATGATACCAGCTTGATACGCAAGTGCGACATAGATTTGCTTGGCCATCATTGCGCTCCTCACAGTAAACGGTCCCTCTGCCTCCACTATTCTATTCCTCTTCGGTAGGTATACGCTGCCGACCTGTTGATAATTGCGAAGCCCAGTAAAATCTTCGTGAACGTGAGGAAAGACATCAAGAATGTGACAACCGCGACGAAAGTTACAGCCGCCAGCCTTGTGCGTGTAGTACTGGAGACGATGTATTGCATGCATCGCCCGTGGGAAGAGATACAAGGTTAGGACGATGGAACATAGAGATGTCAAGACAAGGCTCACAAGAAGAAGCCTGTCGATTGACGACTGTTGGCTGATGGTATGCCCATGCTGGCGAAGTTTGGCCTATGATATTTGCGGCTTACTGAAGTATAATATCGAGGGTTCAGGAGGAACTTGGAATCCATATCAACATTGACGACAGCGGGCGGTTGTGAGGTCCTCACAGCCGGCCGGTGACTTCTGCGGGCCACAAGGATTTATTGACCGCGTCCGGATTGTCATTGTCATTGGAGTCGGAGTTATCTGGCTCGCCGGGTCCGTAACGGAAGCATCAGCTAACCCGTGTGCATGTGTGACATGAGAAGGAATACGAGTGCCAGCAGGGCTCCGTCCTCCCGGTATACAGGGAACGCGACGCGCTTACGTCAGCATCGGGGCGCGCAATCACCCAGTTAGGGACTTATGATGGCCCCGATAGATACCAGTAAACGTGTCCCCAGCTCTGGAACCCCGTCGCTCAGCTAGGAAACGAGAGTTTGCGTCCGATATCAGTGTAGAAGGATCGACCCCCTAATCATTGGCCCCCGTCCGACGGGGATTGGCGCTGCCAAACATGCAAAGCAACTTAGCTCAAAGTCCTGACTGATTGTGGACAGTTTTCCGGGAGTGGGAGAGTTTGCGTTGACCGATGTTACCGACGAACGACTTCCCTCCGATGTTGGTGGCCATGTGTACGTTGGGAACGGCAATCTCCACCTATGGGCTCTCAGATTTCTGTCTCTTGTCTTCATGTCCTCTCCCTCTCTGCCATGTTATCGCGTACAAGTACTATAGGAGTAGCCAGCTGAGAGGAGTACCTCCCATAAACCCTCGTGTAATCCTGTTCCTGTTATTTTTTCGTATTCCAGGTTCTCCTTTGCTCCCTCTCTGTGGTACCCACAGTCCCCACCATCTGCTGACGTTACCTCTGTGTCTCATGATTACCTACGCTGTATCGCGGATTCCACGCGTTCCACAATGGTACAATTTCACGTACTGTATGTTTAATCTGGATCACTTATGGGTTCGGGAGTGATTCTTTGAAGAACGTATACGGGCCAAACGGACCACATCAGGCACCAGTCAACGCACGAGCGACGCGTTACTAGACGACGACCCGTTAGTCGCTGAGCTGCGAATTACTTTTTCTCCGAATTCACGTTTGCCCATTTTCGGGTCGGTCACTTCCGAGAAGCCTTCCCACCCAGCCGTTGTAGACGGCAAAAGCATAGGTTGCGGAGCCAGCGACGGAATCTAGCGATGAGGGCTGTAACAGACTTTTCCACGGCGTTCGCTTGGGTTACCACGGTGATCACCAGTTCGGCGGCGGCGCTGTTAATTCGCCTTTCTCGGAAAAGAGCGGGCGGTTCATATCAAGATTCCACCGCTATCATGTTATCGGAGAGCCTCAAGCTATTGGTGTACGTCATTGGGATACGTTTTCAAAGGTCAACAAATCAAGCTACAGTTCCTGAGCAGGGCACTGTAGGTATGCGAGCGATCGTAAGTTGTCAAGGAGGTCCCAAGGTGCTATTAGCTGCGGGGCTACTTTTCAGTCACAACTATTTGAAATTCATTGCCTCCTCATGGTAAGAAGCATACCGTCCTTAACGCTGGCGTATTGTTAGGGCGGGCAATGCCTAACCCCACCCTTTCTTCCACTTAGCCTGGGCGTTGCGCAAGTTTTATCCCTTAACCAGATGTCGATTTGCACCGCTGCGGTCTTCGCAACTTTCCTCCTAGGCCATGCCGTGGCCATTCGGGAGCGCTTTGCCTTAGCCGTTCTGGTTGTGGGAGCTATCATAGTACAGCTTCCTAAGAACCTGAACGGCCCTTCCGAGAATTCCTTTGGTCTATGGTCCGGGATTCTTGTTCCGTGGATATCTGGTTTTTTCGAAACCTATATGCAGTCTGCGAAAGTGTCCCGCTCGTCACAGTTAGGGCTAAACCTGGAACTCAGCGTGTACTCCGTCACCCTCTCACTGTTCGCTGTCGCAGTGCAGAGCGGAGCAAAACTGCGGGAAGGCCAAGACTGGATCTGGAGCGGATACTCAGTGTGGACATGGCTGGCAATTGTTGCACATGGGTTGAACGGCCTCACCTTCTCGAATGCCCTTAACAGCCTTAGTAGAACTCATAGGAACTCTGCTGGGGCGTGCGCCATGATTCTGAGCAGTTTCGCTGCAGTACGCATACTTGATGAAGCTTTTACGTTGTACGTGACCTTAGGTGGGTTCGTGAATTCAATAAGACAAACACGCATTTCACCGAGGGCTTACCGCCGTACAGGCCTGTTTTTGATCTTCTTCGCTACCATTCAATGCAACTGCTGGGATAGCTTCAGTAAGATCGGAACCATATCTTACGGCATTGTCCGTAGCGACGGGACCTCCGCTAAACATTTCCGACAACGGAATGTGTCAAGATCGATTTTCCGGCCGATGCTGAGCATGTCCGGCGGGATATTAGTCATATTATTGGTGTGGACTACCAGGTGGACGTTCTTATATTCCGTGACTCCAGCGTTCTTGACTCCAAGCATCCCGTGCACCTTCAATCACACGGGTCCGCTACACGACGAAGATCTGAACTGCTTGATAGAAGTCTTTCCCTTCGCTACCCCGACGAAATTAAGGCCCGTCGTCAACGGCACTCACAAGATCAAAGGCATTTCATGGAATGATGGAACTCCTCCGTAAGTAATTTTGCCGCAACTATAGCTATCGATGCTCTCTTGACACCGCACTCCCGCAGTATTCCAATCTTTATTATGTTCAAGGATCGCGTATCCCAGCTTCTTGAGCTGATTCGCAGCTTACATCGGCACATCCTTACGCCATTCGAGATCGTTATCATGGATCAGAATTCAACGTATCCGCAAGCGGTAAATTTTGTGAGCAGACTCGAAGAATCCGGTGTCACTATCCTGCGAGTGACTGATCCATGGAACACCTTCGACGAGCTCTACTACGTGTTTGTTCGTTTGCTTAACAAATACATGGAAACAAGTAACGCCAGCTACTACATCCTTACCGACCCCGATACCGCCCTTGATAATGCCCCTGGCGATGTGCTGCAAGTCTATCAATCCGTACTGGACGTCAATAACTTGTATAGCGTTGGGGCGGCCATCCGGTGGGACGACTTACCCGACGAGCTTCGCGATGGTCATATGATGTGGGAACAAGTGATGGTTACGTTACCTGCACAGTGCCATGTGTATCGGAGCGCATGCTATTATTACAATACCGCCAAAGTTGATACCACCTTCGCTATGTACAGAAAGGGTCAAACCCTAAAACGACTGGCCGAACCAACGGTACGGATGCTTCCACCATTAGGGGTTAGGCACCTGGATTTTTATCTGTACGATAAGTCCATACAAGTACCGGATGATGTCGAGTTCTACGAAAACGCAGTTGCCGGAAACGGGGTTCACCACTACAGTCACGGGAACGAAATCGACAAGGGAAGCGAGGCGGTGTCGAGCTAAGGACCAAAGTTAATCTACGATGGGACAAACGTCGGTGCTATGGATATCATATCCAGAATTCGATATCTTAGGCATCCGACTGTCCTGTGAAAGACACAAGCAGTGGCTTCTCTCCATCGGAAATCCAAAAGTCACTGGATGGTGGAGATTGGAAAAGACTATACAATAGAACTCTGCTATCGCCCATCCTGTCTCCTATAATAACTTTTGAATCCAAGTGAAGGCATTCCGCACACCTTTAAAGTTGTGCTTCTCTGATAATGGTTCAACCCCCAGCTTGCAATGCTGGAGAGCGGGACATAAGCGGTGGTATTCGGGTTGTGTTCAAGCTCCGAGTCTTTTACGAATAGCTGAGGTGCGCAAAGTGCCCAAACTCGGCGGAACGCACTCTTTTGATGAGCTGGTATGTCTGGCAAGGGCAGATAATACGGTGTGGGACTCCCAAGTCCACCGGGACTAATATGTACGGAGCAGAAGTCGATTCGTGTTGACCCGCCGGTATGCTAAATTGCTTAGCAGGTGACTTAGGGTAGGCTGCTTCAGTGTCGGAAGTCCACATTGTCCGGATTACTGTCCTGGAAAGATCCAATGAGATTGGTGAAGCCCCTTTGCTCCGACAACGGGAATCTACAGTATCTTCTGCCCGATCAAGTCCGACGTGTGCTTCATGTTTATTGCGAAGAAGCTGTATTATCCGCCACCCGCTACTACTCCGCCCCGCTCAACCTGTATCCGTCCCTTCGCCCCCGCCGCCCTCTGTTTCACCTTCCTCACCCTACCTTTAAGGGCAACGTTGCCGTTCAAAAGTTCTCCAATGTCAACGGTCCTACGTCTTCAAATTCACTCCTTTAAATTTAGGATGGTCAACGGAACACCATGTGCACGCATAAACGTCGTTTAAGTGCAGATGCATGCATTTATGTAAGTTTTAAATATTATGAACGCGTTGGAATTGACGCGCATTACGTCAGCCAGCGCCTGAAAGTGATGGGTCGCGCTGCCGACGGGGAGTTGTGAATTCGGCATCCGATCCTCCGCGAGCTTCAAATTCTGCGTAGATATCGTTGTTCCGATGCACCAGCTCAGGAAACACTCATCGTCGTCAAAGGCCCGCCTAGTAATGATGGCCGTCAGATCGTTCACGACACGGAAGTCCACGATCATTGCGGCATTAGTGCTCACAATGACCGGATGTGCACTTGTTTCGGTGCCCTCAAGGGACATGATTTCGTCTACAAGGGAACCAGCTGGCGGCATGATCCCCTTTTGGGCTAGTGCTCCCAGTAGCAAGGCGGATATCGTCGACAGGTATACTCGTTGCCTCACCCGACCTCCTAGTGGTGCTGTCATGTACAATACAGAACGATGCTGGAGTGACATCTCAACGTATGTCCTGGACTTTCCTCAGAAGATAAACATCGACCGGCTCCACAAATGGCTGACTTCCCTTCCTGCAGTGAGATTTATATGGATGTATTGGCCAGAATCGAGGATTCGGCCCCGACCGAGCTTAGTCGTTTTCAGATTGCCGAAAACCAATTATATTTGCCAAACTGGCAACCATTTGATTTATTCAAGCCTACATACGAGTGCAACGCCATGGACCTGCTCAGGTACAGTACGCTATATCTCCCATGCTGTTGATTGCACGTTTCTGCAACCTTCTAAAATCTTACATGGCTTTTAAGGATCGGCGAACCTTCGAGGAAGTCGGACAGTGGGAAGTGGCTTTGGTAATTGAAGACAACAGTGTTGACCCTGGCATACGAGCTCTAGCTAATATGACGCTTTAGCTCGGACAAGATTGAATTTGGCAATAAATGTGTGATCTTCTCCGTCGGATCGAACAATCAATTTGATTTCGAAGTCGAGATGCACGGCCATTTTCCCAAATGTGAGGTACGTATGTATGCGCGTTACGGCCGGCATGCCCTTGAGACGCAAAATGCTGAAGGGAGCTTGTTTTGTTGCAACTTGCAGATTCACACGTTCGACTGCACCGGAGATTTCAGCAATCCATCCACAACATTTCACAGAACGTGTGTTGGAAGGGAGGATGTGAAAACCGAGAAAGGGGCCTTCAAGCGCTTGTCAACAATCAAGAAGGAGCTAGGGGTCAACACAGTGTCCTTGCTCAAGATGGACATTGAAAAGTATGTGGTTTTGCGGCAGCAATCACTCTCCCGTTGTGCTGATCCCCGGATATCAGCTTCGAATGGCAGTTCTTCTTAGACATGCTAGACGAACCAGAGGATAGTCGGCCAATGCAAATACTTGTTGAGTTTCATATTCGCATGGAGCTGCATGACCCCACCGGAAAATTGATGCCCTACCCCTGGGATCTCGCGCCCACCCTCTTTGAGGGTTGGAATCGAAACTGGGCCATCCCAATCGCTCGAATGGTGAAAGTATTCCACCAGCTTGGGTATAGGATAGTTTGGCAGGTACCGATATGATGACATGTCCCTGAAAGGTTTCGAATGGCTTCCTATATTCTACGTTTATACTTACCTCTCCCCTTCCCGACTTCGTTTACTTAATCAGGAAAGGTAAGGACGCTCCTTGTTGATATCCCGGAACCTGTTATTGACGTCTTATCCTTATACAGGAACCGGTGGGGAGAATTCGCCACGGAACTTATTCTCGTCCATCAACGAGCCTTATAAGCATTCTGAGCAGATTGCCAATAGGAGGATACCCTTTGACGACAATGTGTGTATCGAAGCCCACAATAGTTTCTATATGTACTTTCTGTGTGCGCGACAATGTACATGAACCGGTTGCGATTCGCTATCCTCACGAGAGGCTAGACTGTTCTCCGCCTGGTGCTGGGAAGAAGAGAGGACGAGATAGAGCTGGATCAATGCATAGATCACTCACAAGACTCAATTCTCTGCCTTAACACATCAGACGTAATGTATTGATATTGTTTCTGGTGTGGACTTCTGCAGGCGGGACAAAGATTTATTGCCGACCTTTTCGTGCGTTCCTCGTTAGTGTCTAGAAATGTCCATTGCCTTATTATGGTTTAGGGCACCAATTGCTACACCAATGCGCTCGCCATTCAACATGACACACGGAAGAGCATCTCCTTTATCAACAGCAGTTTTCTCCGATTGTATTGACGCGTTGCATATATGGTTAAAAGCATCTCCATCATAGGGTCATTGACAAAATGTGGCCATTGATTTGTGGCCGTTAATGTGTACATGTATATCTATGTGTTTGCGTATATGCATTTGTGAACCTCTTTCCAGGACAGTCTTCCTTCGCTGATACTGAAATGGGACAGGGATTGCAGGCTTCCATGACATATAGCTCCTTAGGAGAGCAGGCTGCTCATAATGTCGGCGCTCAGCACCTGATGATGAATCAGGCAGTGCCGCGGAGCGGTGGCCCAGACACATAGTACGGGCAAGAGTTTTTGTGGATGCCGAGCATGTTGTCGTGCCATGTGCTGTAATGATTCAGCGCATTATCATCTTGGTTGACCGGAATGGTGAGAAAACAGATAAGTTCATATGTCGGCCATTGTTCGACGTATTTTTACAGCCATGGTCATACCAATGCCCCGGTTCGCTTTGATGAATATGAGCTCATACGGGTGGAAGCTCATGCCATAGTAGCGATCCCGAAAATTCATGTCGCCGGAGTCACAACGATCCGGGTCACCCGTGGCAGAAGTCATCAGCGCATCCACTTTGTAGCCATTGGTCTCCAAGATGCCGGTCAAGGGAACCTCGCCCATATGAACTGCATCAGTGATTTTGTCCGGGCAAGGCAATGTTGCGGGCCCAACCGCATATCCAACCTCATCGAAGGCCAATACCATACTCTGCACGTGCCGGGAAACTCCATGCATATTGCAATAGACCGTCGTCCCCACCATTTTGACGTCATCTGTGAGGCGATCGAGGAAATGATCGATCCAGCACCCTCTATCGTATAGTGGAAGAAAGGGACCCCGCACCGATGCGTTAATCATTATGTACCGTCGGTAGCGGCGATGTCTTTTAGCCATATACTCTACTCCTTGGCGGAAAGAACCCAAATCGTAACATCTGCAGAGAAGTCGATGAGAGAAAAGGAAATAGGCAATTTTAGCTTCCCATTTTAGGTTAGGCAGCCATGGAATTTGGCATGACACCTAACAGGACCCCAGACACATACTTGTTCTCTTTTCCCCACACGAAGATGTTTGGCAAGTTGGGAAACACCACGCCTTGAGGTGTGGGACTGTTCATAACGAACAGGTAATCGGCATTGCTTTGCAATCCATGACGTAGGAAAAACTCCAAGTTGGCTGTCTGCTGTGGTCTGTTCCGGGCGGCGTCTGCGGCGTTGAAACCATTGATTGTACCCATGCTTGCGCGGAAGGATTCATCTTCCGGAGTCATGCTTCCGTCGTAATAGACGTACACAATTAGAGGTCGAAGCATAGACCTCCGTAGCGTCCTATAGAATATAAAAAAGGCGATGGCGAGCGCAATCATGCTTGCCCCCGCTAGCACTCGGCGAGGGACGAGTCGGCGAGGTTGGAACATGTCGGACGTAGGTTATTGCTATCCAGGCGAAAGCTAAAACGAGCATATGGAAGAAGACAAGCAAATCGTTGAATTCATGTGATATGGGCGAGGGCAGTGCTGCACATATACGTATATAGGTGGCGGAATTTCAGCACGTTGGCAGGAAGCAGGCACAGCCCGGGCTTGCCACTTGATTGCTTTGTCAACAGTCGTAGAACCCAGTACTGCCCGTCAGTGGTGCATCTTCAGAACGCGTCGGTCGGCATGCGTTACATAATCATATTTGCACGCGTATTTGCCACGAAAAGTGCCCCGGCGAGGCTTCCTTGTGCAGGCGGCTTTCCATTTGGAAATATACTGTATATATATACATATATATATCACCGCACCCGCGTCCGATCACTGTGCCGGTCAACTCTTCACCCTGCTCGCAACCTTTACTTCGTCCATCCACAAATCCTGCGCTACACCCCAGAAGCTACGAGATATGCTTGAGGGACCCTCTACAGCCCGGGTGGCGGTGGCCGGAATAGCGTCCGTGATCACTACGATTTTCGAGAAATACGTTCTTTTGATCTTCCCATTTCCACCACTTCTTCTTCTTATGCAGCAGGTGCGTTGTGTGGCGACGTTCGCTTAGAACCCGTTCCAGCGTGTCTCATCTTCCGTAATAGGGTGTAATTTTGGGGATCAGCCAGTGCGTCGTTGTTCCGACCCGTCGCAATCGAACGCTTCTGCATGACCAAAGCAAACAAGAAAAGGGCGAGCGTAGCCATTCCGAAGACTATAATACGGCGCCTGCCTTGCGATCTCGACGATATCTCACGATCGGCCTGCGTTGTGTTTGCACAGTGGCGACAATGACGGCCTTATGGCTTAACACCCTTCGAAATTTTCAGCTCTGTCTGCTCTGGATTCCAGCGTTCGGGTGGATTCTCAATTACACGTTTTTCTCATCTCGCGCATCAGTATCTGGGTCTGCTCGATCATCCGCGATTTTGCCCATTACCATGCTCATAGCAGGTTTCAGTCTGTTGATCGACGGCGGATCGCGAATGGAAGCGCTTTGGACAGGGATATGGGCAGCGCTACTTATTGCGGTGACGGACGCGTATACAACACATTTCTCGCTCGAAGAAGATTCAAATGCGTTGCAGCAAGCTCAAGCTGCCGTACCGTACATGGCAGGCATCTCGCTGGTGCTCTCTGTATTCCAGTGGGGCTTGATGGATTCCTCAAACTTTAGCACATTGGTTATCGCGAGGAAGGATTTGTGGGCCGCTTGCGGGACATTAGGCGGTTGTGCCGCCGTATGGGCAGTATCGCTCTATCTCTCTGCCCAAATTCAAATCGGAGGCCACAGCGAAGCCTTTTCGAGTCACGCACAAGCTTTATGTGTGATTCTGTACACCTTCTTCAGCCATGGAACGGGAGTCGCGTCTTCGTATGACCGAGGGTTGAAAGACGCTTTTGGTTTGCTGCTGGTAGTTCTTGGGATGGGCATCGATATATGGGCTAAGAAGCATCAAAGCCAGGAGATTAGGTAAGGACGGGCGTGTAAGTCTTGAGGGCTGGCAAGAGTCGTTTTAGACGGCCATTCATTCTCGCCATAGTTCCTTCCCACTCTAATATTTGTTCTGTCTCCTTTGGGTTCCGTTTGGATTACAATCAACTTCCAGTCTTCCTCGGTCAGCCGCCGCTATCGAGCGAAATCGGAAAGTCGGATTATTAAATATCATAGTTATAGTAATCCTCGGAGGTGCCTGCGGACGAGTCTTTCTAGGTCTTCTCAAGTAAGTTACAAGACGTCTACCAGGCTCTTCCTGGGCGAGAGGTTGACAACAACTTGCTGTCACTCAAACCCGCATGTCCCTTATTCGCATCGCGTTACAGTTCACATTCAATGGCGCCGTCTACGGGCCGATCGCCGCCTCTAGACCACAGTAACAAGCTTGCCCTAAACATAAATCTTAGCGGCGGCGAGCATCTGAAACTCTATGTCCCGCCCTGTCCTCGCCTGGCGCCTGAAAGAGCGGAGCCAGCCAAGCATGTCAACTGCCCCACGGAAACACTTCCCTTCTTCAATCGATCGCGTAGTGATGAGCCACGAATGGTTCGTATGAAAGGGGTAGCAGCGCCCCGAAGACTCTTCGACGTGTTTTATTTCAATACTGAAATGGAGATGCTCGACATCCGTCTGATGACTCTCTGGAATGTCGTGGACTATTTCGTCATAATGGAAGCAGGATTCACATATACGGGAAAGGACAAACCCTTTATCTTTGGAGAAATGAAGGACAATCGATACAGTGCATTCAAGAGTAAGATAATTCACATTCCCGTAGCCAACATGGATACGCCGGTAGACGATGGATTGCCGGATATACCCGCAAGTGGGGCCAGCAATGATTGGAAGCGTGAAAACGCCGTTCGCGATTACCTTCTCCGACAAGGCTTGAAAGCTGCGAGCCCTGCCGATGGCGACATTGTTGTGGTATCGGATCTGGATGAGATACCGCGCCCGGACTATTTGCAGACTCTTAAGACTTGTCATGGTTGGGAAACCGTTTCCAAGCGCAAGGACAGGATTTGCATGAAAAGCGACATGTTCTACTACAATTTTGAATGGATGCAGCCACATACGGCGTGGTGGCACCCTGACGTATACGTGTGGAAGGGGGACGGAACCATTCGAGGTACCTCCCGATGGGAGGGACATCAATCCACCGAGGACATTGCATGCATAGATCATGCCGCGTGGCATTGCTCATATTGCTTTCCCACCATGGACTACTTGATTGACAGTAAGTCTCAGGAGTACCCACAACAAAGCGGTCACTGGTATTGAATCTCATCATATCGCATATATGCTCTGCATAGAACTCGGGTCCTTTTCTCATCAGGAAATGAACACTGAGCGCAATCGCAGTCCGCGTTGGATTCTCGGTAGCATGCTATCGGGCCATAATGTGTGGGATGAGGACGGGCATCCTTCCAATCAAAAGGTAAGAGAACTCCTGGGGCAATCGAGTGACATACACCTTTACTGATCGCAGGTCATCTCACAAGGTTGCACCAAACTCTCCGACGTGGGTGGCCACGAATCCGGACTGTTACGCGCACCTAATTGACCGTCGCTACGGGCTTACTGAACCATTGTGGTGGGAAGTTGGCAAATGGGGTGCTAATCAACTTGGACGACCGCTTTTGTGATGTGATGGGCCGCAAATAGCGAGGCAGACGATGCAGCTTGGAACATTGGGAAGCTAAATGAAATGGACGAATTCCATTTGCCGTAATGGCGGATTCCCGCGCTGGAAGTTTGTTTCAGTGTTGTTGTAGACTTCGAAACCTCCTGAACAGATTTATCATTAGGACTTCGAGCCTCTCCTCATGCGAGATGGACCGTTATCGATGCTGTGTATGTAATAGGTTGATTTAAGCCAAGCCTCCCGGTTTACTATAAAACAAATTTTGCCGAGCTTCCTTCGTTGAAAGTAAAACCAGAGGGCAACATGCAGATGGTGCGCACGCCTCATGTCATTGTATATATAGATCACGATAGCATACTTGACCCGAATTGACAGTGGTAGTTGCCGTCCTTGTTCGCGCGTCGCCAGCGCTTCAAACACTCCGCCCGCCGTAGACTCTCTTCCCCATTGCGCCGCCCAAAAAGTTCACCCACTGCACCTACAATGGCCTCTCCTTGCTGGACACGCCGCGGGTCACCCCCAGCTTCTCCCCACCCGAACCCGGGCACTCCTTCTTCGAGGCTCTCTCAGTCTGACGTCGTTACACTTTGACGCTCCCCGCGCTTCAGTGGGCGCACCCCTAGCATTCCACATCCATCAATAGATCCAGCACTTGGGGAGCAGAAAAAATGCCAGTCTTGCAAAAGCAGTTGGCAATTGGGATGGGGGTAACGTAGCTCCACGCCTCACTGACAAGCTCTGTGCACGCATGCAGATCTATCGGCACCTTCTGCGTATCGACAACATTGCCGCGCCAATGTTGGCATCAATTTTGTTTATCCATACCCTCATGAGTAGCTTCCGGTAGTTGCTTTTAAGGTTTCGAATAATTCCAGCATCCATTGGCTGCAATATGGATGTGGTGTTTGGTGGGAGCGGATGGAGATTGATCGTCTGCAGGCGGGGTTGAAGCTCTTCAGCTTTGCCGTGGCCAGGAAAGTTGTCAAACAGAAACAACACGGGGCGCTGCAAAGATTCATCCCAATTCAAGAGAAATTCCTCCCCAATCTGGGAAGTCATCCACCCCTTTTTGCTGTTTCGATAAATGACGCTCATTGGTTTGTTTCTGAATGCTCGAGGATGGGCAGATTGGCCGATGACAAGGGGCAATTCCTTGTGGGAGCCGGTAGCGTTGCTGAGGAAGAGCACAGTCACCCGCTCTTTTGAGAGCTTTGTGCCGCTTGTGAGGCCATGTGCAAGATGGTATTTGGGGGCAACTTCCAGAATAAGCCTGTCTCGTCTGCGTTGTAGACATCATTTGGATCCCACTCTGCAAGAAGCTGTTGCAGTTCCCGTCGACTTGCTGAAACCAGGTCTGTATCAACGGAGGCAGCTTCCCCATGCAGTTTGGACCGCTTGAGCCCGTGGCGCTCCCTGAAGCTCTGGGTCCAGCCATGGGAAGTTTCCAACGGGGGAAGTGGAGTGTATTCCCGAAATAAGGTGTAGAGGAATGTTGCCTTCATATCGAGCAATCAGTCGGTGGCACCATGCCAGGAGACCTTTCTCAACAAGAGGAAGCGGCGTTCGACGTTTTTCGGCACTGGCAGGGGTTAGATTCTCAATGGCTTCAGTGATGTTGGGACCTCTTTGGCGGATTCTGGTGACGTTACTGGGAGCCACGCCAAGATTGCGGGCTAGGGTTGAGGGTTTGACACCATTTTCAAGTTGCTGAAGCACTTCATGTTGTTGACTGAGTGGCAGAAGGACTCTGGGTTTCTTATTGCGCTTTTTTGGAGTTCGGGAGGACTATATGTCGAGATGCTAGTAGAACAAGCTGATTCCGACACAGTGAATGCGTTGAGGTCAGTTGCTCGTTCCAGAACAGCCAAGATCAGTACAGAGTTGCAGTGCGGTGATTGCCGTGATGATGCTCGCAATTGCGTAGGGAAGGAAGGAGCATTAGGCCGCGCGTCTAGAGCTCTTCCGTCAACTGAAATTTCCGTCAACTGAGACGTGACTGTATGTACGTAACCTTTGGCCGCGTAACCATATCAGCCTCGGTATCGCAGGTATCGCGGCTTTGATATCCGCAGTTTCTGCATCGAACCTGCATTAACACGCCCCACACTACATTATACATATCATGACCCAAAGACTGGAACGTGCGCTGTTCCTTCACGGGCGACTTCGCCCAAACCTATTGTTCGCGAATCTACTGCTGTTATGCATCGTGATTGGGCTATATCTCCATCTTGCTGGACAGAGCCATTTATGGAGCTCTGGAACTGTGGTCAGTCATCCCCCCGGTGCGAACTCTTTGAATGTATGTAAAGTGGTAGATTATCTACACTTCAATTTACGTGTCTGACTGGCTGACACTATCCTAGTCGTTGGCTCCGATCAATTTACAGAGTCCCAACTCCGATGCCGAAGTTCGGCGAAGGCGTTTCGACGCGCGCGTACATGAAGTTTTTGGAATCGCAGGGCAGGCGGCTTCTGGGCGGTCACATATAGCGTCGGAACATGTTACACGACGATTGGGCATTAATCGCATGTTTCAGGACAGTGAGGCGCTGAATGTGCAGGCAAGAGCAGACCCTCCCTCTTTCCGCTGGGTGGTCTTCACTTGCCACTGCGCGGGAGATATCGGCGGCCCGGACTGTATTTGTGGCGGTCTGGGTGATCGTTTGAAAGGCTGCGTCTCTGCGTACTATTACGGCGTTTTTACCAATCGAGCGTTCGCCATTAGCATGACGTTTCCGGATGACGTGCGAAGTTATCTTGTCCCCTCAAATTTGGATTGGAGCCTCGACCTCGCGAAACTTCACGGAAGAACCGAGGTGACAGTGAACTTGATTGATCCACCTGATGACGATAGGGCACTCCTGGATGGCCCTGACTCGTGGAACGACTACGATGTAGTCTATGTTCGGACCAACCGCGATCTTCTTAGCAAGATGCTCCAGAACCATTCATGGCAGCTTACAAGGGAGAAGTACTCATTGCAAAATTACCACCGCGAGAGTTTGGTAGGATCAGCGTTGCGAACACTTTTTCAAGCGTCCCCCAGAATGGAGCATATGCTTGAGAGTATCCGGAAGAGCATACCGAACTATCGGCGGCTCATCAAGATTGGCATTCAGTTCCGCGCTGGGGGACAAACTGGCGAGGGCGCATTTGAGCACGACACGGGCGGTCACAGAACCTCATTGGATATGGCGAATTGCTTCATTGCTCGTGCTGTGCAATTTGCGCTGGACCGCCGCCTTCGAACAGATGAGGTCGTTTACTTCTTGACATCTGATCATGAAGCGATCCAAAGTCAGATGTCCGAGACCCTCAATGATTTGGGATACAAGACATTTACCACCACCGGTACGAGCCTTCTTCGATTCGCATCCGATAAGATGTGCAGTAATGAACAGTGTCCCATATTGCAGGCCCGTTGACACACATCGACAAGCCCGTTCACGAAGCTGGAGACCAATCACAAGAAATGAAACATCGGCGAACTTACATCGACTGGTTTCTTGAGGCGGAGATGGACTACCTTGTCATTTCCCGATCAGGTTTTGGAGAAACTGCTCATTTCTATACGCTGAATCCAACCGTACGGATAAGAAGCGTTGAGAACAACTGTGTGTTCGACAATTCTACCGACCACTCTTTATGGCCCGTCACTTCGAGCTCGAAAGGGGCCTTTATGACCGACTGATATAGTTGTTAGTGTTGATTTTGGTCTTGAACTGAGTGAATATATGGATTCCAGGACAACCCATTGGTATCACGGAGCCCTAAAAACCATGAACAGGAAAACTTCCGGTAGAAACGGACCACTCTGCGCTGTTGGCATTGGCACGGAGATCTGGCCGGAACGTGGGCGCGGTAGAGATACGCGCTCCAGGACTACCAGATGGAGATTAGGTACAAAGCTGGCAATTCTCGATCTCAGGCTGTCCCCGATTTCCTGTCGAGAGCTTTGCTGGAGGAGAAAAGGTCAATTGGGACCCAGACGGATGCAACTGAGGAAGTATCCGCCGAGAAGAGGAAGTGTTTGTGATGGAAGGAGACGGAGCAGTTGCTGAGGAAACCGAAGCAATCCCCCCTAGAAGGAGTGGTGACAAACATTTCAAAATGCCACAATGTGCGAGCTGCTGCTGAATCTCAGCAGCAGATCACATGACCCACTAGTGACGACGCGCCGTTGCGAGTTTGGCGAGTTTGGCGAGTTTGGCGAAGTTGCACATTTGGCGAGGTTTGGACATATGGCGATAAGATGTGGGTGTCCAAACTAGCTTTGCTTCAACCTCCTACACACACCTTGGTTCTTGTCACAAGCCCAATTCTATGAACCCCAAGTACTTCCGAACAGCAGCGGGTTTTGGGACCCCTACAGTCTCCATCCAAGAGGGTGTTTTCATTCCCGGATGAGGGCAGCCAGCATGCACGAAGAAGCTAGGTGCAGGTAAAATATACCCAAACCTTGTTCACTTCTCAAGTCATCCCATTTACATTCCCCGTTGCAGATTTTGCAATCCAAGGAGTCTGTTAGAAGCTCTGGGAGTCCCAAAGTTTCAGTTCAGTTAGCGGTAGAGCGGACTATGAGCTGAACTCTATGTAAGGGGAGACAAAGCCCTATATTGTATATGAAGTTATACAGTGTTGTCTTTGTTGTAGAAAAGAGGACGCAAGGTCCGTGAAGTCAGAAAAGGTTGAAGTCCCGTACGCGGAAGGGTGGCGTAAGCGGAAGGGAAGTGACATGAGGAAATAAACTACTAGAAACCCTATGTTATAAACGACGCGTTCATCCCGTTATCAACAGCTGTCACTTGGTCACAGCGGTTTCAGCGGTTGACAGCTGTCACTGCCAAGAACATGTCAAACGTCGCTCATGCCCCACGCTCCCCTCTCATTTGCCCTATCCCCACCTCTCCGCAACCTCGCCGCTCCTCCTCAATGACAAACAAGAACCAGCTCATCTGTGAGGTCATCTGTGAGCTAATCTCTTGTCATTTGTCAACCCACACTACTTCTCCACACCCAGCTTTAGCTATGCTCAGGATGTTCGCTACGCACCGCTAAGCTTGCTCAAGGCTGGGGAGCATAGCTGTCACTCACCAGGTCACCTCTTGTTGTTGTTCTTCGCTTTGCTGGCTTGCTTATGTAAAAATAGCCCCCCCCCCCCCCCCCCGTTCTTTGTGCATTCCCTTCTTCCCCAGCAAAACAGCACCAGTTACTTCCAGTACATCTTCTTGTCTTGCTCTTCTTATCAATACATCAGTCTACATCCCAGTTCCTCGCTTCCTCGCTTGCCGGCTCTTGATTGTAACAGTTTGCTTTGCTCCCAACAACTCTCTGAACCCGCTCAGTTCTTGCCAAGCTCTCCTATGCCACGTCCATAGAAACCGCGTCCACCAGCATTACTCTCAAAGCATGGAATGCGATGTGCAAAGCAGTCACCCGGCTCCAAACCCAGGATGTCAATTTGCACCCAAATGTGGTACAAGCCAACGTGCTGCTCCAGCTACTGCCGCCCAGGAAACAAGAGATCCCAAGCCAAGGATGTGATGTGGACTACCTTCCACACGGGTTGTTTGCCTGATGTTCGTATACAATAACTACTTTGCTGTAAGGTATTGTAGACGGACTGGGTGTTCGTTGGCTCTGCTATGCGATATGTAGTAGAAGAACTACTTGTTGTGCATAGGAACGCGCGACGAGCACTGTTAAAGTACCCATGAGGTCGGAGTCCACTGGAGAACACGTTCCAGTGAGGCATTAAAAGAATTAAAACCTCGATTCCACTGGAGAACACTGTGTGTGACATGTCTTGCACTCCTAGCGAGACATATCTCGCCCGACACGTCGTTCTCCAACTAGACCGGACAACCCACATTAGGGTTTTCCATGGACAAACCTACGTCCGATAATCTTATCAACATAGTACTCTTCCTTGCTCTTGACTTGGACGGGCTCTGGGTTAGAGTCCTCTACACCGTCGATGCGCAGCGGATCTGAAGTCGGCTCGTGCCAAGGCTTCAAGATATCCGTATGGAAGACCGGGTATAAAGCGCCCATTAAAGCTGGCAGCTCTAACTCGTACGTTTCCGGGTGTGGTCCTTTCTTCTTCACGATGAAGGATCCCAGCTAGCTCTCTCTAAACTTGAGCGGCTTCTTATTGAAAGCAGGGATCGTTATCCCGTCGCTGTTCAACAGGACTTTATCTCCTGGACGAAAGCTCTGTACACGACGTCCACGATCGTGATACTTTGCTTGTTTGTCCTGGGCTTCCCGCATCTTCTGCTGCACTATGAGCTCAATGGATTGGTATGCCTCAGCACGCTTCTCCATCTGTCTGATGAGCTCACGTCGTGACTCATGCAAGAATGGGGTGGACGTATCGTCCTTACGTTGCAACACCTTTGTGTTAACTTGCCAATGCATTGGCGCCTGCGGAATTCTACCCAAAACAACCTCGAAAGGGCAGTATCCAGTGCTGTTCTGCGTACGGTTGTAGGCAAACTCCAACATCGGCAGTTTGTCAACCCAATCATCTCCCGTTACATGAAGGTACGGTTTAGTCATCTTCTTCAAGATAGAGTTACACCGTTCGACCTTTCCGTCCGTCTGTTGGTGTCGTGCCGTGCACAAGCTCTGCTTAGAGCCCAACAACGATTGAAACGCCTTCCAAAAGTCTGCCAGGTAGTGGGGATTTCGATCTCCGACAATCACAGCTGCAGTACCTGTATGGCGCCATACCTCACGGAAGTAAAGCTGGGCCAACTCCTTGGCAGTTATCGTGGATTTTGCAGGGATAAAGTATGCGCGCCCTGACAGATAGTCAATGAAGACAATAATACTGTCGTAAAACGCATCACTATGCACCTTCCCCCCCACGACCGTGTTATTGGCATCGAGACAGGATCCATACCCATCGTGTGCCAACATCGGTCGGGAACTGGGAGCGAACAAAGTAAGCCAACACGCTTATTGTTCGGCGACTTGAACCTTTGGCAAGACCCACAAGTCTTGATGTACCTTCGCATGTCCGCGTCCATATTGGGCCAGTAAAACTCACGTAGGAGCTTGCCCAATGTACCTTGTACCCCCGTATGCGAGCCAGAGAGCAACGAGTCATGGTACGCCTGCAATACAGTTCCTCGTAAAGCAGCTGGCACATAGAACTTATCGTGGTACGCCTGCAATACAGTTCCTCGTAAAGCAGCTGGCACATAGAACTTATCTGGTACAGTAAACGACCATAGTCATCGATCGAAAAACGGCAATCGAATGTAGACTGTCGTTCCTTCGGCTGTGACAGCGCCTCTTTCCGCAAAGCAAAGTACTCATCAGCCTCCAAGGTTCGTATCCAATCCTCAAGCGTAACATTCCCCAAAGGAATATACTCAACGGACATCCCCATGGCCGCAGCGATTTCCACTCGCTTGTTACACTCGGCGCAGCGAGGAGCATAATAAGGATTACGACTCAACACATCCGCGACAGTGTTCCAGCGACCAGGTTGATATTCAATATCAAATTTGAATTGTTGCAGGAATTCAACCCATCGTGCTTGGCGATGGCTGAGGAAGGGCTGTGTCTGCAGCCAGACCAAACTAGCGTGATCGGTGAACGCACAAAACGGGCGGTCATTTGTCCGATCCTGCAAGTAATGCCTATTCGCCTTGCATATGCTAACCAGAGCCAATAGCTCCTGTTCGTGCACGGGGTAACGTGTTTCAGCGGGTTGCATCTTCCGCCCAAAGAAAGCTATCGGCTTTAACGGTGGCAGATTCTTAAATCCCTTCACTGAGGTAGGCAACGGTGATGGGTAATGCTCCGATGGATCTGACGGCTGGGCGAGCCATCCTCCTATTGCAAAACCCGATGCATCCGTGAACACGTATAAATCTCGCTCCGGGTCGTAAGACGCGAGCGTAGGAGCTGTAATAATAGCTTCCTTCAGCTTAACAAAAGCCGTCTCTTTGACATTGCCCCAGTGCCAAGGCCTTTTGCCCGACTGTAGCTCTGTCAATGAATACGCGATGCATGCATAACGATCGACATATTGACTCAGGTAATTTGTCAACCCTAAGAAAGATTGGACCTCTTTCTGTTTCGTAGGACGTGCAAAGTTTCGCACGGTGTCCAATTTCGAGGGTGCAATGGCCATCGTATCCTCCCCCAGGACATGGCCGCAGAATTCAAGCTCTTTCTGCATCCATTTGCACTTGGACGGCTTAACATAGAGTTTGTGCTCGGCGAGAACAGCCAAAACGCTGTCCACATGAGCGATGTGCTCCTCGGCCGTTTCCGAGAAGATTAAGATATCATCCAGGTAAGATATGACATACGCATCGTACATCTTCCCCAATATCTTATTGGTTAACCGTTGGAACGTTGCTGGCGCATTCGTCAACCCAAATGGCAAAACCAAGTACTCAAAATGACCAAACCGCGTCCGAAACGCTGTTTTGTCTCTATCAGCCTTGCGAACCAAGAGGCGGTGATACGCATCTTTGATATCAAACAAAGACTTGAACTTCTTTCCACGTACCCGATCCCGCATCTCTGCAAGATTTGGTAACGGCGTATGATCCTTTATCGTTGCTTTATTCAGCCCACGATAGTCGATGCACATACGGAGACTGCCATCCTTTTTCTTAGCAAATAACACTGCCGTGCCCCACGGGCTCTGCGAGTGTTGAATCCAACCACGCTCAAGCATGAGGGTAACCTTCTCATTTAGCTCTTTGAGTTCGGCTTCGCTCATATGTCGTAAAGGATTATAGACTGGTTTCGTACCAGGCTCCAGCTCAATATGGAAATCATCCTCTCCTCTATCGGGCGGCAACTCGGCGTGCTCGACAAACAAACTATCCACGTACTTCTCGAAAGTTGGGTAAAGAAGGTGATCCGATGGCACGCCCAAATCAACCTTCTGTCCTGTAGCTTCGCACATTTGAACCTCTGGCTCTGGTTCGGCGCGATCGCGTTCATCTGTGGGGACATAAGCTGGTGACGCATTCACTGCAGCTTCTATGTCCATAACGTATGCTATGTAACACTTCCCATACACCTTTTTTCGAGATAAGCA